AGGGGGTTCTGGAGACCCCGTTCTACCCCGGCCCCGATAACACTTTCCGGAAATTCTCCTACCTGCCCTTCATCCCCGAGGACGGCGATTATTTCGACTGCCAGGTGCAGCACGAGGGGATGGAGAAACCCGTCAAGACGCATTGGGGTGAGGATGGAAAAAAAAATTGAGTTTTTTTGGGTTTTTCTGAATTTTTTTGGGTTTTTTTCTGGGTTTTTGGGGTTTTTTTTGGTTTTTTTTCTGTTTTTTTAAGGAGTTTTTCTTCATTTTTTTGGGTTTGGGGGTTTGGAGTAGAGTGACTGGTCAAGATGTATTGGGATGAGGGATTTTGGGCTTTTTTTAGGATTTTTTTTGGATTCTTTTTGTTTGTTTTTTGGGGCTTTTAAGGTTTTTTTTTGGCTTTTTGTTTTTCCTGGTTTTTGGGGGTTTTTTTGGGGGTTTTGGGGGGATTCAGGAATTTGGGATTTGGGGTGCAGCACGAGGGGATGGAGAAACCCGTCAAGACGCATTGGGGTGAGGATGGAAAAAAAATTTGGGGTTTTTTTTTGGTTTTTTAGGTTTTTCTTTCTTTTTAGGTTTTTTTCTGCTTTTTTTTGTTTTTTTAGGGTTTTTCTCTGTTTTTTTCTGTGGTTTTTCTTGGTTTTTTTGTGTTTTGGGATTTGGGAGTGGGAATGGTGTGGAGTGGCTTGTCAAGATGCTTTGGAGTGAGGAGAAAATTTGGGTTTTTTTGATTTTACAGTTTTGGGTTTTTTTAGGATTTTTTTCTGGTTTTTTGTTTTTTTGGGCTTTTTGGGTCTTTTTTTTATTTTGAGTTTTGGGGTTTTTGGATTTGAGGTGGGAATGGGGTAGAGCACGAGGGGATGGAGAAACCCGTCAAGACGCATTGGGGTGAGGGGAAAATTGGGGTTTTTTTGGGTGAAAAACGTGGGATTTTGGGGGTGGAAATGGGGGATTTAGAATGGGGGGAAATGGGGGAAAAATTTGGAAAAATGGGGTGGGAGAGGGGAATTTTGGGGTGGGATTGGGAAAGGGGAAAAAGGGGGGATTTGGGATTTTGGATTTGGGGCAGGAAAAGGGGGATTTGGGGTGGGGAAAAAGGGAAAAAATTGGGATAGGAAAAAGGGTCAGGAATGAGATGGGAATTGGATGAAAAATTTGGGATGAAGAAGAATTTGGGATGGGAGAAAAGAGCAGGAATGGGACGAAAAGTTTGGGATGAGGAAGAATTTGGGACAAGAATTTGGGACAATGAAGAATTTGGGATGGGAAAAAGGGTCAGGAATGGGATGGGAATGGGATGAAAAATTTGGGATAAGGAAGAATTTGGGATGGGAAAAACGATCGGGAATGGGACAAAAAATTTGGGATGAGGAAGAATTTGGGATGGGAAAAAGGGTCAGAAATGGGATGAAAAATTTGGGATAAAGACAAATTTGGGATAAGGAAAAATTTGGGATGAGGAAGAATTTGGGATGGGAAAAAAGATCAAGAATTGGACAAAAAATTCGGGACGAGGAAGAAATCAGAACGACGACAAATTTGTGAATTTTGGGGATTTTTCCCCGTTTTTTTTTTTTAATTTTTATTTTTTTTATTTATTTATTAATTTTAATTTTTTTTTTTTAAATTTTTATTTAATTTTTTTTTTTCAGAACCGCAGCTGCCGGCGCCGGTGTCCGAGGTGGCCGAGACGGTGATTTGTGCCCTGGGCTTGGCCGTGGGCATCGCGGGCATCGCCGCCGGCACCGTCCTCATCCTCCGCGGGATGAAGCTCGGCCGCGCCCGCGCAGCGCCCGGGGTGCTCTGAGAAACCCCAAAATTCCAGGAAATTACCCCAAAAATTGCTGTGAAAATTCCTGCAAAAATCCTGCAAAAAACCCCACAAAAATCCTGCAAAAATAAAAAAAATTCCCGCAAAATTCCTGCAAATTTCCTGCAAAAATAAAAAAAATTCCTGCGAAATTCTTGCAAATTTCCTGCAAAAATAAAAATTATTGCAAAATTCCCTCAAAATCGACTCTAAATCGGTCCCAAAATCTCCTCAAAATTCCGTAAAAATCGACCCCAAATCCCTCCCAAAATCTGCCCAAAAATCCCCAAAATTGGCCCAAATCGCTCCCAAAATCCCCACAAAATTCCACCCAAAATTGACCCAAAATCCCCTAAAAATTGACCCAAAATCCCTCCCAAAATCCTCTCAAAATTCCACCCAGAAATTCCCACAAAATTGACCCAAAATCCATCCCAAAATCCTCTCAAAATTCCACCCAAAATCCCAAAAAAATTCCCCTCAAAATTTCCATTGAAAAATCCCCTTAAACTGACCCAAAACGCCCGGGGTGTTCTGAGCAAAATCCTGAGAATTTACCCCAAAAATTCCTGTCCAGAATCCTGCAATTTTCCGGCAAAAATAAAAAAAAATCCTGCAAAAATCCCGCAATTTCCTGCAAAAATAATAAAAAAAAATCCTGCGAAATTCCTGCAAATTTCCTGCAAAAATAAAAAAATATTCCTGCGAAATTCTTGCAAAATTCCTGTGAAATTCCCCCCAAAATTCCTGCAAATTTCCTGCAAAAATTAAAAAAAATCTGCACAATTCCCGCAAAAATACCCCAAAAATTCCTGCAAAATTCGCAAAAATCCTGCAAAATTCTCGCAAAATTCCTCCAATTTCCGCAAAAATTACCCCAAAATTCCCACAAAATTCCTGCAAAAATCCCGCATTTTTGGGATTTTAGGGAACATTTTGGTGCCATTTGGGGACATTTCGGTGCCATTTGGGGACATTTCGGTAACACTTGGGAATTTTAGGGACATTTGGGGAATTTTGGGGAAATTTTGAGCGTTCGGGGTCATTTTGGGGACATTTTGGGGACATTTGGGGACATTTTGGGGACACTCCGAGCTCCGCGACCTTCTCAAAATGGCGCCCTCAATGCGCCGCCGGAAGTTACCACAGAGACCGCGGCTGCACCGCCCCTTTCCTGGAAGTGCCGCTCTGCCCCTCCTCGTCCCCATCTCTATGGTCGGTCCTCCAACCCAATTTTTTCGCATTTTTCCCGTTTTTTCCTGGATTTTCCCCATTTTTTTCGTTGATTTTCCCCATTTTTTCCCCCAAAACGCCTCAACCCCGCCGTCCCAACGTCCCCAAGCCCCGGGGGTGTCCCCTCGTTTCCCGGTGTCCCCTCATGTCATCCGTGACCAACGCCACCATCATGGCGCCGCCGGAAGTTACCACAGAGACGGCGGCTGCACCGCCCCTTTCCCGGAAGTGCCGCTCTGCCCCTCCCCGCGCCCAACTCTATGGTTGGTCATCCAACGTTATTTTCGCGCATTTTCCCCGTTTTTTCGCGGATTTTCCCCATTTTTTCGTGTTTTTTTCACATTTTCCCCATTTTTTCACCCAAAACGCCTCAACCCCGCCATCCCAACGTCCCCAAGCCCCGGGGGTTTCCCCTCGATTCCCGGTGTCCCCTCATGTCATCCGCGACCAGCGCCACCATCATGGCGCCGCCGGAAGTCACCACAGAGACCGCAGCTGCACCGCCCCTTTTCCCGGAAGTGCCGCTCTGCCCCTCCCCGCGCCCAACTCTATGGTCGGTCCTCCAACCCAATTTTTTCGCATTTTTCCCGTTTTTTCGTGGATTTTCCCCATTTTTTCGTGGTTTTTTCCCATTTTCTCCATTTCTTCCCCAAAACGCCTCAACCCCGCCGTCCCAACGTCCCCAAGCCCCGGGGGTGTCCCCTCGTTTTCCGGTGTCCCCTCACGTCACCCGTGACCAGCGCCACCATCATGGCGCCGGCGGAAGTCACCACAGAGACCGCGGCTGCACCGCCCCTTTCCCGGAAGTGCCGCTCTGCCCCTCCCCGCCCCCAACTCTATGGTCGGTCCTCCAACCCAATTTTTTCGCATTTTTCCCGTTTTTTCTTCGATTTTTCCCATTTTTTCTTGGATTTTCCCCATTTTCTCCATTTTTTCCCCCAAAACGCCTCAACCCCGCCATCCCAACGTTCCCAAGCCCCGGGGGTGTCCCCTCGTGTCACCCGTGACCAGCGCCATCATGGCGCCGCCGGAAGTCACCACAGAGACTGCGGCTGCACTGCCCCTTTCCCGGAAGTTCCGCTCTGCCCCTCCCCGCGCCCAACTCTATGGTCGGTCCTCCAACCCAATTTTTTCGCAGTTTTCCCGTTTTTTCGTGGATTTTTTCCGTTTTTCCTGTGTTCTTTTTTCCCATTTTCCCTATTTTTTCACCCAAAACGCCTCAGCTCCGCCATCCCAATGTCCCCAAGCCCCGGGGGCGTCCCCTCGCGTCACCCGTGACCAGCGCCACCATCATGGCGCCGCCGGAAGTCACCACAGAGACGGCAGCTGCACCGCCCCTTTCCCCGGAAGTGCCGCTCTGCCCCTCCCCGGGCCCAACTCTATGGTCGGTCCTCCAACCCAATTTTTCCCGTTTTTTCTTGGATTTTTCCCATTTTTTCGTGGATTTTCCCCATTTTTTCGGGGTTTTTTTTCCATTCTCCCCATTTTTTCCCCAAAACGCCTCAACCCCGCCATCCCAACGTATCCAACCCCCCCAAATTCAGGACACTTCGCGTTGGGGGGGAGGGGGCTGAGACCTTTTTATTTTGGGGACATTTGGGGACAAATTTGGGACATTTTGGGGGATTTGGGGACAAATTTGGGTATATTTGGGTATTTTGGGGACAAATTTGGGGATTTTGGGGATATTTGAGGGAATTTTGGGAAAATTTGGGGAATTTTGGGGACATTGGGGAATCATTTGTGGACATTGGGATTTGGGGACATTTTGGGGACAATTGGGGACAAATTTGGAGAAATTTTTGAGGGATTTGGGGACATTTTGGTGACATTTCGGTGCCATTTTTGTGCCATTTTGGGACAAATTTGAGACATTTTTGGGACATTGAAATTTTGGGGACATTTCAGTGCCATTTGGGGCCATTTTGTGACATTGAGATTTGGGGACATTTTGACGACAGATTTGGGAAATTTGGAAAATTTTGGTGCCATTTTGGTGCCATTTTGGTGCCATTTCGGGGACATTTTGGGACATTTAAATTTTGGGACATTTTGGGGGATTCGGGGACAAATTTGGGGTCATTTTGGTGCCATTTCAGTGACATTTGGGGGCATTTTGGGGACAAATTTGGGACATTTTGGGACATCGGGATTTTGGGGAGATTTTGAGGGATTTGGGGACATTTCGGTGCCATTCTGGTGCCATTTTGGGGATATTTTGGGACAAATTTGAGACATTTATGGGACATTGAAATTTTTGGGCACATTTTGGGGACATTTGGGACATTTTGATGGATTTGGGGACATTTCAGTGCCATTTGGTGCCATTTTGAGGACATTTGGGGACAAATTTGGGACATTTGGGGACATTTTGGGACATTGAAATTTGGGGAGATTTTGAG